CCCTCCAACCTTGAGACACCCCCCCCTTGAGCCGCCTGCCAGCAAAACTCAGTCACTGTGCACAGTCAGTTAAGCTGTGAAGCCCAGGACTCGGCAGCTGCACAAAGTTGGAGCTTACACATCAGCCACCATACAGGCTGAACTCTCACAGGAAAAGGTACCACAAACACCCAAGGTGTCAGAGTTTGGCCAGTTCTAGAGTCCACAACTTAACATTCTAACACAGGACTTCAGGTACGGAAGTCCTGTGGGGATCTGTGAAATCCACGTCAGGGTCAGACACCCACATCAAATACACATGGGGCAGGTGGGCCCCTACAGTACATGGAGACAAGTTAGCCTTTTCAAAACAATTTGATTTCCAACTCAAACTGTTCTTATGAAGTTCCTATCCAAAGATGAGGCATCAGGATCAGCCAGGCTTTCATGAACACTAGCAGTGCCTTCCAGACCCACTGTGTCTCCACCCTAGCAATGGCGACTGAGTTTTAAACAAACACACCCTGGTTAAGAAGCACTCTGTGTCCTTCCTCTGTCCTCCTGCAGCGCTACGGTTACTGCATCTTTCACACCACAGATCATATGTTATTATGAGTTCACCCCCCTTAATCTCTCCATCCTCCTCTGAGCCTCAATGGCTGGTTTTAAAATGCCTGCATCCTAGCACTCAGCAGTGTCTGGTTCTGAGACTTTTAGGCACTCTAAGATTCAGCACATGAACAGTGAATACAGATTAATGTAAAATGAAAAGTGAATGATGTAATACACAGAACTTACACAGAAAGGAAAAGGAGCCAGTAGGTGGTCAGGTATAAAGATTTAACAGCTACCTGAATATCAAGGATCTGCTCAGAAGTAAAAGCAAAGTCCCCATCAACTTTCTTTTGAACCTTAAATCCTTCTGAACGTGATCTTGTAAGCCATGTGATTAAAGACACAACATATCCTTTCAGAAGCTCTGGTGCCACAGTGGTTAAAGCATTCAGTTGCTAACCAAAAAGTCAGCAGTTCCAACCTATCAGCCACTCCACAGGAGAAAGAGGCGGCAGTTGGCCTCAGTAAAAAGTGACAGCCTTGGAAATCCTGTAGGACAGTTCTACTCTGTCCTCTAGGGGCGCTATGCATCAGAACTGACTAGACAACAGTAGGCTGGGTTTGTTTTTCGGCGGTCCTTGTGGCAGCAGACTGCAGACATGCTGGTGAGTTTGAACCACCAACCTTTTGGTTAGCAGCTGAGTGCTCAGCCACTATTCCACCAGGCCTCACTTCTTCTCATCAGATCTGAGCATCTCTACAAGGAGAGAGACACGTCTCTCGAAGTGCCTATCCTATACACACCAGGACTTTAGAGCTGTCTTTGAAGTCCCACACATGAAGAGGAGACAGCATCTAAGAGCATCCCTTACACAAGCACCCATAAAAGGGACTTGGTCTTTAGTCCAAGCCTCTGCCAGGGCGCTGACTCTGCCCTGGCCTCAGGTGGTCCCCTGTAACTGAGGGCCACTTAAGGAGTGGATGGGTGACTCACTGAAGGACGCTCACAGCACTTGCCCTGCCCTGGGCACCGCACTGGATGCCAGAGCTGGGCCGTGAGAACATGAACAAGGTTCAGGTCCCTGTGGAGCCTCCAAGCTAGCATCACTGAGAAACTATCAAAAACAATCGGAACCTCATCAAAACACAAATCCTAGATCATGCATAGTTTGGCTAACTCTATTAAAAAAGAAGAAGAAATTGACCTCTCCTCATGCAGAATGCCCAAAACCCGAGGGAAACTCAGTCAAAGTTGATAACCGTGTCCATTTTCTACATACATTGGATCTTCTTCCCATTGTTCCATTATTTCACAGTATGAAATTAACAAACATACATGAAAACAAAACCGTAAGAGCCATTTTTAGGAACAAAATAGCCAAAATTAAAAATAAAACCTGCTTTAGGCACTGGATGTGTACACAAGTATCAAAACGGGTACTAAGCATGTCTTGTTTATCTGTATTTAAAAAAGGAACACAGACCAAACGCCCAAGTCTGGTTAAAGTCTACTGAAGCAACCTGCATCACCGGTTTACAGAAAAATCCAGCAAGTTAACCTAAGACGCTGAATGGTGAATAAACGTGCCACAGCGTGCGAAGGGGTAGGAGTGATGCTCAACTCGTGGAGGAGAATGCCCGCAACAGCAGCACACGAAGGAGGGCCCCTAACAGCAAGGAGCTGGCCCAGCCCAACAGCCGGAGGTGCGCAACAGGAGACACACACACACAGTCCGCGGGGGGAGTGTGGCCGTGAGGAGGACAGAGAGCCAGGAGGGGCGGCCAGCAAGGGCGACAGGGCCACGCCCGAGGGCTGTGGAGCTCCAACAGGTCCCACCCGACTCATCTCAAGATCACCAAGATCACCATCCCACAGCCACTGACTGGGCCGTGTGTCCCCATCAAGCCTCGCAGGGCCATCACTTAAATAGCAGCCGGCCAATCAGTCCGCCCACCCCCCGCCCTCCCGGCCCTCCTTGCTACTGCCTTCTCTACCTGTCAGAACACGGGGTGCTTTTCAGGGTGGGAGCGGGGCTGGCTGAAGTTTACGGGAGGGGAAGGGCAGGAAAACAGCTCTCCTCTCCTTTCACTTACAACGCTGCCTGGGGAGAGGCTTTTGCAAAATGCGCTCCAGTAAACAAATGAACCCCAGCCCCGGACACTTCCCTAAGCAGACACAGAGCCACAGGAAGCCTCTGCTAACTATCTCTGTCGGCTCCTGAGCCGGGTGAGGCCACACGGCAAGGACCCCACTGCTTTGCAGTGCCGGGCATCAGCAGGGCGCCGTCAGCGGGGCAGCCGTCAGCGGGGCCGTCAGCGGGGCACCGTCAGCGGGCAGTCAGCGGGGCCGTCAGTGGGTCTGTGGCAGCAGCAAGGTAAGAAGCGTTACCTTCGTGAGGGTGGTGGCTCTGGCAGGCAAGGTGACTCCTTCTCCCTGGGTGGACACATGCACAGGCCCCAGGTGAAGGCAGCACCAGCAGGACAGAGATCAGGCAGAAGACGCAGGAGGGAGGAAAGAAAAAGACAGAAGGTGTGAACTGCAGTGAGACAACACGCCAACTGCACAGGGTGAAAACATGCACAGAGCCCACCAGAGTTCCAAAGCGCGAGGGCCCAGGCAACAGGGCCCCAACGTCAGTGAGGCCACAGGAACCCAGGCGAGTCACCGCAAAGCTGGCAGAGCAGCGGGCAGTGAGTCGCATGGAGCCAACCCCCACACTGATGGCTTCTCCCGTTTCAAACCATAACCAAGGACATGAGGACATGGCACCCTCCTCCAGACACCTACGTCTCAAAACCTGCAAATGCAAAACTCGGCGGCATCAACGCAGACATCGCTCTCTCTCCAGGGTGGTGGCCCTGCTCACAAGCCACCAGTGGCCTGGCAGGCGGAGCGTGGCTCTGCTTCAAGGACCTTGGCCAGGCTGCTCTACCACTGCCCGAGCCTCCCATCGAGACACTGACCCCCGGTCAAAGGCTGTCATCAAAGGCACGCGGCTTGCCAACGATGACACAGCCACACCTAACACACGAGTGCTAGCAGTCCTGACCAAGGAGGCGAGGTAAGCGCCCCTTCTGTTCTCTCCCTTTGAACAAGATACGCAAGGTCCACAACGCGAACACTGCCAACCTCTCTGCACATACCATTCATCCAAGCATTGGCTTGGGGAACCCTGGGCGTCCTGTGGGTGCTACGACCCGTGCAGGTAACACAGGTGGCCTTACTTCTGCTCACAGCTGCTGTGACCCTGCAGGCCGCAGCCTCTGCCCAAGCCCCGCCCACTCTCTTATCCTTCAATTCTGAGCTCAGGCTTCCTCAGCTCCCAAACCCTCCGGCCTGGGCTGTCCTCCCCTTCAGTGCTCTGTGCATAGCCACGATTTCCCCCAGCAGGCATTCATAAAGTGCCTATCATGTGCCACACACAGATGAACAGCACCCCATGTCTCAGCTCAGGACAGCACCATCAGTCACTTCATGGTGGCACACAGTGTGTGTCTTGTCACCAGGTGTCATGTATACATGTGCCTCTACTATGTGTGCATGATAGCACTTTCCAGAAGCCACGTTCAGCCTTTTCATACGTGACTGTGCTTAACCGTCCCCTGTGGATAAACACCACAGTGCTCTTAGTCATGGGGGCACAGACCAGGCACTGAGGGGTGGGAGGGTGGCTTCTGCATCAGCACCCAGCCCCATGTTCTGAAGGAAGTGGCATTTCCTGTGAGACCTGAGGGAAGAGCAGGAACCCCAGCTGGAGGGACAGGGAGAATTTAGAGTAACTGCAGGCAGAAAGGGCCACATGCAGAGACCTTGAGGAAGAAAGCTGTTGGGAGAGTGATGGTGGTCAACACAGCTGACAGAGTACAGGGCAGGAAGGAGGGAAAAAGCCAGTCCGGGACTGAATGGAGGCACCATGGAGAAGGGCCCAACAGCCTGCGGCAGAGGCTGGGCTCTCCCGTCAGTGGAGGTAAAGCAGGTCTTCAGAGGGACAGCGTGGACCACAGTGGCTGGAAAAAGAACATGTGAGTGCAGGCAGCGGGGCTCAGTGACAGACTGAGCTGTGAGTGAGGACAGTGAGGGGATTGGGTGATGGGCTGTGAGTGAGGACTGTGGGGACGCTGGGTGATGGGCTGTGAGCGAGGGCCGTGGGGACCGTGGGTGATGGGCTGTGAGTGAGGGCAGTGGGGACCCTGGGTGATGGGCTGTGAGTGAGGGCACTGAGGGGACTGGGTGATGGGCTGTGAGTGAGGGCAGTGGGGAGGCTGGGTGATGGGCTGTGAGTGAGGGCCGTGGGGAGGCTCAGGGATGGGCTAAATTAGGGAAAGGGCTGGAGGTCTGTCTGCCAAGCCTGATAAGCGAGAGGCGAGGTGAATCTGGAGGCTGTGTGTCATCTTGCGCAGTGCAGGGGGGACATTCGCTAACGTACTGCTTTGCTGGCTTGGGGATGAGGTGAAGAGAAAGGACTTCCATTCTGACACTGAATTCCAGGTGTCTGTGAACACTGGCGGCTGCCCAGCAGGCAGTCAATAAACTAGAAAGAGGCCCTCGGGAGGCAGCCAGCACCGAGGAGGCGGCACTGGGGCCGGGCACACACACGAGTGTGGGTCATCTGGAGGCAGGGGCAGCACACTCGTCTCTGTGCCCAGTGCCTCACGTACGAGGCAGCAGAGCGCCAGGCACGTAATGCGCATGGCCGCCACGCCTCAGCAGCAGCTGTGAGAGTCTCTGATGCCCTCAGAGCCACAGAACACTGCACGTGCTGGATGACCTGAGCGAACCCAAGTGTGAAACTAACCATCCCAACAGGACGCTGCACAGAGCATCGGCTCCGAGGCACAGGCCTCTGCTGCTTCTGCTGGTCCTGCCTCTCCAAGCCCCAGACCAGGGTCCCGTATACAGGAGGCACCCAGCAGGTATTTCTTCATCAGGAAGAGGACAAATCTCATCCTCTCTGCCAACACAAAGCCAATTTTCAATTATTTGGAAACCATTCTAAATCAGTTCCTCTCTGGGCTGACATGCCTCAATCCTCAAAAAACTGGGTTTGGAGAAAACAGTCATGAGTTTAGCATTTAATGCAAAATGTTAAAGCAGACCCAATGCCTAAAACAGATGTAAATGTTTAGCTGAAAAGCCAATGGCTATAGTAGCACTACAGCTGTTCATCCCTACAGACAACCAAGACCCTACGTTCTCGCCCAAGTTACAGACACAAAGCCCTAAGGCTCTCACTAGCGTTACAGACAGGAAGCCTCAATGCTCTCTTCAGTGTTAGAGACATGAAGCTCCAACGTTCTCGACCACATCTCAGACCCAACAAAGGAACCCAGGCCCCACGTGCTCACTGCAGAACTCTAAGGGGCCTTTCTGGCCAGGACACTGAGGAGCAAAGCAGCACCCCCGTGGCCTCACCAACAGCGAGCCAATGAAAAACTGCCCTCCAGCACAACTCAGGATCAAAACTCCCAGCTACAGCCACGCTGCCCCAGGCTGTAAATGACCGAGGACCGTCTCCACGGCACCTTCACCTCCTGCACTGACTGGGCTGGGGCACGCCACACCACCAGACTACTCGTAACTTCATTACTTCATTGCAACAACTCATCAGCTGTAAGAAGCAAAAGGAACCTTCCACATAAAAATCAACACGCCAGCAGCCAAGAGAGACCCACAGTTCTGTCCAAGGACTGGCTTTCCAGCTAACATTTTCTGTAACTGCTCAAGGTAGGAAGGAGGGTGACTACTTCCCTCTCCACTGTATTTTACGTACAAGTAAGTCACATAACATTGCTTTAGTCAAATAAGTAACAATGGTGTAGCTGCCTGCTATCCACATCATTTACCACACATGCGCAAAGACACGCATACACGGGGAAGTGTGTGTGAAGAGTACCGACGTATCTCCCCACCTGTATCAGACTGATGGCGAGAGCTCTACCCTATGAGAGCTGTAGTTATAAACCACCTAGGGCTCACAAGAAAGCAGTCTTAGCCTAAGCTTATCAAAAACAAATCCCCCTTCTCTTACTGAGACACGTTTCTCCGATGGACTGTGAAGTTACATTCTTTACAGATACTTGTTCAACAAGATTATGAAAACACACACACACACACTCGCACGCTGCCCTCAAGGAAGTCTGTCCCGAGAGGGGTAAATTCCACTTTGTCATTTGTACTAGATAGTCCTACCACGATTATCTGGGGAAATCATTTTCAAAGGGAGTTCTCCTTTAAAACTCCTGTAAGATCCCTATACACTATTTCTAGTCTTCTTTCTCAGTAGTAATTTTTCTCCAAGAACTTTTACTCTGTACGTTGCTGGAGGCCGCCTCTCACCTGGGCTCAGTTCTACCAAGTAGGGCAGCTTCTCGGGGGGGAGGGAGGAGCCGTAGACAGACCCGACAGTCCTCTCCTGCCCCTTAAGCAGCTTCGCGTCCACCTGTTTCTTCGTTTTCTTTGGGACATGGTCTGGAGGCCTCCTCTTCAACTGGAAGACTAGAACCCCTAGAACAGTGACATTGTCAATGATCAGCCCCACCTGGATGCTCAAGGATGGCCAGTTACCCGGCAGTACCCTATGCAGAGAACTGTTGGGAAAGCCTAACAGTGTCTCCAAGAAAACTGAGCCAGGGCTAACCCCAAGTACGATTTTACCCACACAGGAAACAGTCATCTCTTGATGTGCTCTGAACACTCCACCAAGAAATTTCCCAAGCCTGTTTTAAAGGAGCAACCACTCAAGCATGCTACATGCTTGCAAAGTAACACAAAATCAGTTTAAGGACAAGTCAATGTCCACAGAGTTGCTGTGAACCGGAATCAGTGTGATGGCAGTAGGCCTGATTTGTATCGGTAAACCACCCTTTGATCAAGTGTACATAAATATGCACACATACATATACGTACATGTATTTTCAGTTAACTCAATTTTTATTTAATTCATCTGCATTAGCTCAGAATTCAAAGCAATCTGAGTTTACCTGAGTAAAGATTAACTTTATCCTAAAAATAACTAAAAAATGTATTAAGGAGGCCAGAAGTGTGCTTACTGAGAATACAGGCCTTTTTTGTGTGTTTTAAAACCACCAATCACGACCCAAGCACTGACATGGCTAACGGGTGATAAGCTTTCAGGTCTTTACTGGTGCAGTGGCCCTCCTCTGGGCACCAGTTAGCTCAGGGTGTGAACTGCAAAGTAAGAAAAGTGTGCCTCACCAAGAGCACAGCTCTCAATGTTCTTTATTCTGAAGTTGTCTCAACAGCACAACCCTGCCACCATCATCTGAAATGACCAACCCACCAGAAATCTTCAGGGCTATGGCCTATTATCCTACCGTAACACAGGCGGCCCAAGAACAGCGGCTCGCTAGGCTCCTAGGACAGTGTCCACTACTGATGGCCAGCAGACCTTCCAGTTCTCACCTTAAGACCAATAGTCCGGCCATTCCAAAAGACATGTCCTCTTAAGAGCAGAACTACAGCATCAAGAAGAAGGCAAGGGTGGAGTTGAACGGCCAAGGGACAAGGGAGCCACATCAGAGCCATTCACCATGTTTACGATGTATGTAATCATTCCCTGCACACCAATGTCCCCTGAGCAGTGAGCTAAAGCACTAGCACATTACACAGACATTTACAAGTCACAGTCAAGTGACCTTTTCAAGATACCCCCACGCGTCACCTTTGTCACTGGGCCACTCCCTGAAGATCTGCAGGGGACACTCATCGTCATCAAGGATGATTTCCTTAGCACCTTTCTCATCAGAATGCTGGGAGCCAGGAGGAAGCATGACCTAGAAGAAAACATACCTACCTGTGAAGGTGACATGTGACAAAGAAATGACAAGCATGTAAAGGAAAGGACTGTTTCTGAATGAATGGAAAGCAGTCATTGGAGAATTAAAGTGAGCAAGCACTGGAAACTTCCTCTTATAATTTCCAATTCCAAGTTCAGCCAGCTGCTTTGGTAGTTTGCAAAGTGTTCTGGTGACACAGAGGTTAAGGAACTCAGCTGCTAACCAAAAGGTCGGGGATTGAAACAACCAGCAGCTCCCTGGGAGAAAGATGAAACACACAGTCAGCTTCCGTAAACATGACAGCCTTGGAGACTCTGTGGGGCAGTTCCACTCTGTCCTCTAGGGGCGCTGTGTGTCAGAATGGACTCCATGGCAGTGGGTGTGGTTTGGGCTTTGCTTCCTTGAAGAGAGACAGCCTTGGAGACCCCCTGGAGCAGTTCCACTCTGTCCTCTACGGGTGCTGTCAGAATGGACTCCATGGCAGTGGGTGTGGTTCTTTTGATTTGGCAGTTTTGATTTCACCAGCATCCCTGCCTGTCTCCCCAAAAACAGTAATATGAGTATTTAAAAACAAAAACTCACATGGAAAGACTGTGTTATGGTTCACTTGTGAGTTATTTCTTAAGGGAAAATAACTTCTAATTGCAAATCTCTATTGTCCCTAATTCACCTTTTCAATTTAAGTAACTGCTTTTATGAGTTTCATGTATGTAAGATCTCTTAGGACAACAGCACCATCTTACAAGAGCAGCATCCTTTTTCTTGCAGACAGTCTGTCTTCCCAATTATTCAGGCTGTTCAGATGTGGCCCAGAACTATTTTAAAGCACCTATTTTAAAACAGTGTGTTCGAACCACTCTTAGGAATGGTGATGCCATCTTTCTCCTTACTGTGTTTCCAACATAGTCAAACCATCTCAGGAGTCCTCCAGGGATGCACGCATCACACAGAGGGGCAGCCGGGCCCGGCGCAACCGTCACACCTGCTCCGGTGACCTGCAGCCCACTTTCAATCTGAATACAGACAGTAATCAAAATGCAACCACAGAAACAGAAGAGGCCAAGGTCCTGGGCTCTGAGCACTGCTTCCTACCTGAAGTTAATGTCCCAGAGTTACCAGCTTGGATGGTGTCGCCAGAACAGCAGGCTCACGTACCACACGCGTGAGGCCCCATTGCACCATCCATTCTCTGCACTGCTTCCCAATTACCGTAAAAAGCCCAATATGCGAACACACCCTCCGGCTGGCCTGTTCAATCTCTCCTCACAGCGTTTTTCTTTTAAATTTAACATCAAGCCTCCACCACCTTTGCCCCCCTCTTTGCCTGTGCCCTGAGATCCAGTTCTGGGAACTACTTGGAGCTCAGAGTAGGCCACACTGTTTTAGGAGGACAAGAGCCCTGCTGCCCACAGAGCCCTTTCCCCAGGGCTCCTGTCCAGGTAACGGGCACTCCTCTGCAGCTCAGGCACACTCAGCGGGGAGGCCTGCTGGGCCCTCCATGGGAGAGCGAACTCCCGTTCTCTCCTCTGCATCCTGGCCCTTCTGTCTCTGCTTAGTAGGTAAGCCCTCAAGGGCAGCTCTTACTCCTGTAACCCAGCATGTTGTTGTTGTTGTTGTTATGTGCCGTCGAGTTGGACGCGACTCATAGCGACCCCTCCTTGGGTTTCCGAGGCAGTATCACTACGGAAGTAGATTGCCCCATCTTCCTTCCGAGGAGTTGCTGGTGGATTTGAACCGCCAGCCCCCTGGTTAGCAGTCAATTATTGCCTTTAGCCACTATGCTACCAGAGCTCCCGTAACCCAGCGTAGCATCTAGCAAATAAGAGCTACTGAAATGGCTACTGGGTAACTGGGTCACTGCGAGTGGGGACTAACTGCATAGTCTCAACTACCCCCAACCTCTCATAAGATGCACGTTACCACGGGCCCGAGGACAGACAGACAACTACAGCACGAAGGCCAGGCCTACCGCAGGGCGCTCCTGTGTCACATTGCGCACGCCAGGGAGCAGGCGCCAGGCCGTCCTCTTGCTCAGGTATTTTTTCTTCAGAAAGAAGGTAAACTTCTCCTGACTGTCCACCCGGCTGACCCTTCCCCACTGGAAACAGAGCGGCCCAATCTCAGGCACGATACTTCATCTACCCACCCTGCTGCTGTGGCTGCTGTGTGCCATCACGTCGATCCTCAGTCATAGTGAGTCACAGAGCAGGGGAGCGTGGCCCCACAGGGCCTCCAAGACTGTCAATCAAAGCCCAAACCACACCCACTGCCCTGGAGTCCATTCCGACTCACAGCGCCCCTAGAGGACAGAGTGGAACTGCCCCAGAGGGCTTCCAAGGCTGTCAATCTTTAAGAAAACAAACAGCCACATCTTCCTCTCATGGAAAAGCTGGTGGCTTTGAACCACCAACTTTTTGGTTAGTAACTAAACACTTAACTGCTGCACCACCAGGGCTCCTACAGTGAAATTACTTGTGTAATAATCTTCTGATTCTGAATAACACAGGCTTACCGCAAAAAAAAAAAAAAAAAAAAATCCAGTAATACAGAGAAGCATGAGAAAGAAAAGGAAAGAAAAATCTATAAGGTAACTGTATTTTTACCATGTTTTCATCATTTTCCTTGGGCATTCACATGACATAAGTGCACTGCTATCTTATTCGTACATGGTACTCTGTTGTTAGGTGCCATCACGTCGACTCCAACTCACAGCAACCCCATGAATGACAGAACAAAACACTGCCCGGTCATGCACAATCCTTGCAATACCTGAACCCATCATTGCAGCCACTGTGTCAATCCACCTCACTGAGGGTCTTCCCCTTTTTGCTGACCCTCTACTTCACTAAGCATGATGTCTTTCTCCGGAGAATGGGCCCTTCTGACAACATGACCAAAGTAGGTGAGATGAAGTCTAGCCATTCTCACTTCCAAGAAGCATTCCTGCTGCACTTCTTCCAGGACAGATTTATTTGTTCTTCTGACAGTCCATGGTACTGTCAGTATTTTTCACTAACACTGTAACTCAAAAGCATCAACTCTTCTTAGGTCTTCTTATTCATTCTCCAGCTCTCACATACATATGATGCAATGAAAATATCACGGCTTGGATTAGGCACAGTTTAGCCTTCAAAGGGACATAAAGTTGTCTCTTCGACACTTTAAAGAGGTCCTCTGCAGATGTGCCCAGTGCAATACAACATCTGATTTCCTGACTGCTGCTTCCATGGATGCTGACTGTGGAGCCAAGTAATATAAAATCATTGACAACTTCAGTTTTTTCTCCATCTATTGTGATGCTACTTATTGGTCTGGTTGTGAAGAGTTTTGTTTTCTTTATGTAAAGATGAAATCCCTGCTGCAGACTGTAGTCTTTTATTTTCACAAGTGCTCCAAGTCATCTTTACTTTCACCGAGCAAGGCTGTGTCATCTGCTTATCGCAGGCTGTTCAGGAGTCTTCCTCCAATCCTCATGCCACATTCTTCTTCATATAGTCCAGCTTCTCAGATAGTTTGCTCAGCATACAGATTAAGTATGGTGAAAGGATACAACCCTGACGCATATACTTCCTGATTTTAAACCGTGTTGTTTCCTTTGGTCTGTTCCAATGACAGCCTCCTGGTCTATGTACAGGTTCCGCATAAGCACAATTGTGTTCTGGAATTTCCATTCTTCTCAATGTTATCCATAATTTGTTATGATCCACACAACTGAATGCTTTTACAGAGTCAATAAAACACAAGTAAACATCTTTCTGGTATTCTCTGTTTTCAGCCAAGACCCATCTGACATCACCAATGACATCCCTCATTCCATGTCTTCTGAATCCACCTTGCATTTCTGGAAGTTCTCTGTCAATTTCTTGGCATAGATGAGTAAATGCCTCCAGTGCAGCATCCATTTGCTGAAACATCTCAATGGGTATTCTGTCAATTCCAAGAGTCTTTCTTTCTTATTTATTTGTTTGTTTGTTTATTTATTTATTATTAATTAATTTATTTATTTCCAGTTCCTTTAGTGCATGTATTTATTTATTTATTTATTATTAATTTATTTATTTGTTTCCAATTCCTTTAGTGCAGCTTCAAATTCTTCCTTCAATCACACTGGTTCTTGATCATATGCTACCTCCTGAAATAGCTGAACATCGACCAATTCTTTTTGGCTGACTCTGTGTATTCTCTCCATCTTCTTTTGATGCTTCCTGCATCATTCAGTATTTTGCCCATAGAATCTTTCAATATTGCAACTTGAGGCTTGCATTTTTTCTTCAGTTCTTTCAGCTTGAGAAATACCAAGCGTTTTCTTCCCTTTTGGTTTTCTAACTCCAGGTCTTGGCACATTTCATTATAATATTTGGCTTTGTCTGCTCAAGCTGCTCTTTGAAATCTTCTGCTCAGCTCTTCTGTCTTGTCATTTCTTCCATTTGCTTTAGCTACTCTTCACTCAAGGGTAAACTTCAGAGTCTCTTCTGACATCCATTTTGGTCTTTTCTTCCTTTCCTGTCTTTTTTTTTTTTTTTTGAATTGTGATTTGGGTGAAAGTTTATAGAGTGTCTTTTTAATGACCTTTGCTTTCTTCATGGATGATGTTCTTGATGTCATACCACAATAAGTCTGGTTTTCGGTCACTGGTGTTCAATGCGTCAAATCTATTCTTCAGTTGGTCTTTAAATTCAGGAGGGATATAATTAAGGTCATATTTTGGCTCTCATGAACTTGTTTTAATTGTCTCCAGCTTTAACTTGAATTTGCATGTGAGCAGTTGATGGTCTGTTCCACAATCAGCTTCTGGCCTTGTTTTGTCTGAAGATATTGAGCTTCTCCTTGGCCTTTTTCCACAGATGTAGTCAATCTGATTTCTGTGCAATTCATCTGGTGAGGTCCACATGTACACCCACCATTTATGCTGTTGACAAAAGGTATTTGCAATGAATAAGTCATTGGGGTCTTGCAAAATTCTACTATGCGATCTCCAGCATCATTTTTATCACCAA